TAAAATATGTGACTGTATTTTAGTGACTTGTGTCTGACCAGAATTGGAGTTCATGGATAAAGCTCCAGTTCTGGAGTGGTCAAGGCAGGTGTGTATCAGCCTCAGTGCAGCGTCAGGATCTTAAAAGCAGAAACACGATTAGTACTTTTCGTTAAGCACTTGTTAGGGAGAAATACCAACACACAGTTGTGCCAAAAAACTCCTGACAAGGACTTTAAAAGCCTTCAGAACTCCTTTGATTGAAGCCTGAAAAGCAGAGCAAAGCAAATCCTTCTGCCTCCAGGAAATAACTTTGTTTCCGTATCTCCTGTGTAAGATGAGTGATAATTAATAACTCCAATGCTTTTGTTATTTCCTGAAAATAATTATAGGCATGGTATTGTGTATTGTTTGTAACTGAGAGGAGGATTTGATCCTTTTCCTATTAAACTGCACTGATTGAGACAACTCTTACAAGTTACAAAAACAATTAGAGCCCCATTGTTTGAGGAACTGTATAAAGGAGAATCTCTTCCTTGAGGAGACCAATGGATTTGCGGTGAGGGAGGGAGAGACTACTGCTATTCCACTTCCAGAAACAGGAACAGGAGCACAAGTTTTCCAATTCTCAAGTCCTGGAAACGAGCTGGAAAGGAGACTGTGTGCTCCTGAATTTCAGGAGCAGGGCTCAGCCCTCCTTTAGAGCATTTTAGTCCAGGGCACGGGTGAAAGCCTGGAAGAGGGATTTTGGGACTCAGTCCAGGAGGGTCACCCCTGGAAAGGTGCAGCTTTGCACCTGGCCAAGGAGTGGTGGAAATGCTGGAAGAGGGACCTGCTGTTCTCTCTCACCTACAGCAGCTCTGATAGTCCTTCTTCCAAGAGTTTCCAGAAACATGGAGTGGTTTGGGGTGGAAGGGACCTAAAAGTTCATCTCATTCTAACTACTCTGCTACCTTCCACTAGAAAGGAATTAGATCCCTTCTCCACACCAAGAAACACCATCCAGCTATGGAACAGTTAAACTCCTCCTCCATCAGCTCTGTGCTGATTAAAGCAGGATATTACAAAATACTGTAGTTTCTCATGCTGTAGCTTTTTTTTTTCTTTTTAATTCGAGGCAAGTGTAAAAAATACAGGCAAGTTACAAAGTATAAAGCAAGTCCTTTTAAAATATTATCAGAAGTGTAGCAGTGTAGCAGCAGCTGACACTGATTTGAGGAGGATGGGAAGTTCACACCATCAGAAAACAATAAGCTTTCAGCAGCGTGGGAAAATCAAACATCTAAAAGCATTTCAAACGAGTCACAAACATTCATTTTAGAGATATAATTTCAATAGGACAAGACTAGAGCAAATTTATCAATGTACTGAAATTACAGAAATGAGGCTGCCAATTTAGTTTCTAAATTATTCTATACATTTAATACACTGCACTGTTAAATAAGCCCACATCATTTTTCTTTTTCAGAGGAATTCTGCCTCTGGCAGAGCTCAGAACAAACAAGATTCATTTAGAGAACAGTTTCACAACCCTATTGCTCACAATCTTGCAGCACTGCCCTGCTCTCAGTTCAGATGCCCAAGCCAAGACACACAAAAAACTGTCAAAAAAAATAAAGCTCAGCATAGACTAATTTTGTCCATGTACCCATAATTATTTTCAGGGAATAAGGAATAACAAAGAACTGGTGTTATTAATTATCACTCATCTTTGGGTTATGCATAGCCAAAGAAGATTTACAAGAGGGAGCTGTTTAAGCAGTTTTAAGAAAGGTGGTGTTACCTGCTCTCATCACTCACCCACAGCTGGAACATATCAATACCAAACACCACCAAACACAGCAAAATCCGGTTTTTAAACCAGAATTACAAACTGCATCAGACTTCTCATGAGTGGATTAAACCCCCACAACTACACTTTTAAAACAACACCTTTTTTATTGAGAAAAACAAGGAGTTTCAGGGGAAAAAACTCCAGGTTACATTACACCAGAAATGTAGTATTATTCAGTCTATTGTTAAAGTGAGTGATCTCAAAGCAAGAAAGGGCTCTCAATGCTCTCTAAGAGGCCATTAGAGTCCTCAGAACCTCATTTAGAGTCACTCAATTCCATTATTGTGTGGTGTTTATCTGCCCAACTTAATCAGAGCTGTTTAAATCTGAGATTAGCCAAGGTTAAGTCATTAATAGCACTAATAGACTGTGCTAGAGAAAAAAGAAAAGACTACGGTGTCCTCTTCCTCTTCCAGAAATAAGGACTGGGATTATGATTATTTGAAAAGCAAAGACCTTTGATGACTGTCAGTAATTTTTCCTTGGAGCAGTTCATCCAACAATAACAATTCCAGTCTGGCAGAGATCAAATGGAAACACCTACAGTCCAAGGATCAGCAAAGCCTCCAGTTTGTCTCTCCCTGTATCCCAAACTGACCCTGGGTGTGAGGATTACATTTTAAGGCACAGAGGGAATATTATTGAAAAGTTTATTTTCTTACAGTTGTGTCTTGAAGAATTGACAAAAATTATCTGTTGACTTGCTTTAGGAAAATGGGTAAAGTTTCTAAATTAATTATTCCTGTAAGCAAAGTTTATTTTATATATTTTTCTCTATGTTATACACTCAAAGCTCAAATTGATGCAAGAGGAAAAGTCAGAATAAAAACAATATTTTTATTATTTTTAAATGTAAAAAAGGAAGCATAATGTGCTAGTAAATAAATAATAATAAAATTAATAATAATATAAATAACATAGTACAAAAATAATAGATTGTGTTTATATAATATATAAACACATGTATATCACTATATATAAGATATAATATAGATTATATACAAATATTAGTGAGTAATAGTAAATATAAATAGTAAATCGATATAGCAAAATAAGTAAACATTAGTAAAATTCCCATCTCCTTCACCAGGAATACTGTTCACTTGGAGCACTTCAAATGGAAACCAAAACATGAAAACACTGACATAAAAACCCCGATGTTTTTGAGCCAATTTTTCAATTTAGCTTTTAGCTTGTTCACTCCCAGCTTTGTGAATACGAGTTCTTGTCGTTTTTCAACTCCTGGGCCTTTTTTCAAGGTTAGACAGCAAAGATGAAAAGAAATCAGGAGATATTTTAACCTTCTGCTGGTCACCTCTTATCTAAGCTGTGCAAAACAAGCGGCTGCTTTTGGTTTTGCTTTCCTGCTCCTTCAGGGAGCTCACCAATAAGAGTTTGGAGCATTTAAATGTGGTTGAGGGATCATTTTTCAGGTGGTTTTCTCTTACCTCATGCGATAGTGGAGCCTGTAGGATGTTTTCTCATCGATTTTAAAGACCTGGTTTGGTGCATACCAGAGCCTTTTGTTCTCATCATACAGTGCAAAGAGGTTGTGGCACAGAGGAGACACAGCTGGCACAGAAAAATACACAAATGGGTGAATCACAAGGCCACAATGCACACACACCCCCAAAATCCAAATGTAGAAAGCAAATATTTCAGGTCAAAAAGAAACTGAGACTGGTATATTAGAATATTCTAATATATTAGAAAGTTAAGGTTGAAGCAGAACCTGCACATTGGTTCAATTCTTCTGTTTTATTGTGTATTAAACAGCTACTTCCAATATCAAATTGATTCTGAAATTCTGATTTTGCCCTGAATTTGAGAGGAAATTACTTTTCCCACATCACAGAAATAGGTATTTTAACAAAACCACTCAGCAATAGCCCCACTTTGTTTTATGAATGAATTTTGCCCCCATAGTTCAGAGAGGTTTTAGCAAACAAGCAGAATGTGCCATTGTCACATTCTTTGCTCACTCAACAGAGGGATTTCCACAAAGAACAGACTTTGACTTGTATGTCCAGGCTGACCTGCTTTAACCTTTGCATTTACATCATCCCAGAGAAAAACAGGCTGTGTGGAGTGTTTACAGGTCTGTTGTTTGAATTCCTTGCTCCTGTTTCCTGCAGCATCCACTGAAACTATTTCCATTGTGAACTGGGGAGAAGAGAAGCCAAGGAAATAAAATCTGAGCCTAATTTCAAAGTTCACAGAAGGTGAGGTTGGGCAGCCACTGACTTGTGCAGGTAACAAGCAGGATACAGGTGCCATCATAACATTCCAGTTGGGATTTCAGCAGGGACCAGCATCACAGCCCTGCTCAAATGGGCAAGAATTTGTACTTCACTGCTGTGTGCAGTGGTATTAGTGAAAAACAAGAGAAGGTAGAAAGAATTCCTTTAAGAAAAGGTCATTTTAAGTAACTTCTATAAAGTTTTTAAACTTCTGGCAGAAATTACTGGGAGCAGCTGCACAGTACATGGGCTCCTCCATGCTGACAGAAATAGGTGGGTGGTTAAATACCCTTAACTTCAATTAAAACTATTAAAAAACCCACATCAGTACTTATTTGATGAGGTTTGTCCTGCAGATTCCACTCATTCTCGCCTTTCCAATGAAAGAGCAGCAATTAGGCAAATGAACTGAAGGATATTCAATGTTCCAAGAATCCAGGTGACTTGGGAAAAGAAATCATTTTAAAGCTGCAGGAAAACTCCTGCCCAGTTCACCTGTTTACACAGCCAGATTCACCACTCCCATGTTAGCTGAATAACATTTAGTGTTCCATGGGGACACAAAACTGGCTTCAGGGCAGGAATTAACCTCAGAATTGTAAATATAGAAGTACAGTGGGTTGTGAGATAAACATAGATTTAATCCACTATTTCCTGGAGAATTACATATATTTTTGAGTATTTTGCTGAGTCACAGACCAGAGTGACACAACACAGGAGAGATCCTGTTTAAGAACTGACCAAACAGCCCCTCGGCAAAAGTTGTCATCCTAGGCCACAAAAAATGCACACTGCTTGTGCAAACACTGACTCAAATGCAGAGGATGCATCACTTTCGATACTGGGAATAAAATCATATCAAATCAAATCAAATGAAATCCAGGTACTCACAACACCTCTGGGCAGCTTCAATGCACAGCTCCTCCGAGGTGAACTCCCCGCTGGTGTAACAAATGGGGTCTTTATCTTGCAGGTAGAAGAGGATTTCTAAGCCCTGATGCTGAACTTCCAGGTTTACTTCACTCTTCTTTGTGCTCCTCATCTTTGCACAGAAAGCCATGGCTTTGCAATCTTCTTTTACGTTTAGATACTGAAAGCAGAGGAAAAATAGTTAAGGAAAGGGTGAAGGAGAGTTTGAATGTTTATCAGAACACAAATCCATCACTTAGTGAGGCCACTTCTTACTCTGATGGGCCAGGCACCACACTTCTCAAAATCTTCACATTGGGAACCTGATTATTCCAAACCAATGAGATGAAAAGTGAAAAATCAAATGTCACTGATTATTCTGTTTCTGGGAACTCTGCTCCAAATAATTCCCTTCTCTTCTGGTGGTTCCACAACTGTTTTAGAAGGTTTCTTTCTTACCGTAAAGCACAAATAACTTTCACATCCTTAGGCACCTAATTGGCTAAAAAACAGCACTTGAGACTGGATAATATAAACAGTTCAATTTATGTTTCCTTTTTTAAAAAGTCAGCTTCTATTTTTACAGTCCCCTTAACAGCTAAATATTTCTCATTGTTTTGTCCCCTTTCACCCTTTGTGTTTTAAACTCCTGATACTTAATGAGTCATGGTGAAATAAGCTTTATTGCAGAGTTATTTTTTATTACTGCTTCTCTCTCTCTCCAGAATGAAAAAGTATCACTAAGTAGACTTAAAACCAAAAGCTTTTAGACTGCCAAGAATGCATAAGAAGACATCTCTGACACAAAAGAAAATGCATTTTGCATTTTATATCTAGTGCCTAAATAGAAAGAGCCAAAAGGAAACAGATGATTTGGGGTCTGTGTTCCATGTTTTACTAAGTATTAGCTCAATTAACAACAAAAGCCCAAACCACCAATTCTACAGTTTATGAAATTAATCCTCCCACTGAAAAACAAACAAAACCCAAACATCAAAACCAACACACCTGCATTTATGTGACTGTGGGATCCTCCACACAACTGAAATGGACTGTCTGCACCTCTCCAGGAGCAACTTGACTCCAACTGAAAAAAAAAAGGGAACAATTAAAATTGTCAGGAACGGCTTTGTACAGTTTGAGGCACAAATTAAATGATCAGGTTGATAAAATGCCCTATGCAATCCAAGGGATCTTTACATTATTATGATTGAGATCTGGATCTAGTCTCAACCAAAGGCAGTCACAACAAGAATACACTGATTTCTTTTCACTCTTTGCGGGCACTGGCTGAGTTACAAACAAAAACCACATGGAAAGCCTTGGTTATCCATTGGCTTTTTTCCATATTTTCAGTTTGAGGTCACACTCATTGCAACCATCAGCTGGGACACCACAGGAACATTCTCCTCTCTGCTTTACCTCCTTCATGGCTTCCGAAGTCACTCCATTCTTCACATTTTCACCTACATATTGCTAATGCAGGTCTTTCCTAGTGTCTATTGTTTCTTCCCCTTCCAGATTATCACTTAAATAATGTGTTTGAAATAAGCCTGACAGTACTGCTGGTTTGGTATCACTCCTGTGAGGCTGAAAGATTCCTCCATTTCTAGTCTCCATTCCCCCTTTTCTCCTTCTCCCCTATCTCTGCCAAAATGTACTTAAAACTAAATGTGTTTTGGTTTTGCTTCAACAGTGTAAAGCCTTTAATCTGATAGAACAGACTTCAACAAATATTGCTTCAAAAGCCTTAGGCTCAGTCTGGAGAAACTCTGACACTGCCACAAAAGCTTTCCCTGTGTTTGGGAAGTGCCCAAAAAACGTGATATTATCATAGAAAAAAATAACATTTAACAGCACAGCACACATTCACAATTAAACTGCATGTTCCTTCCACCCTTGCCACTTGAATGCTAAATTTGAGTTTCCAGACACATCCCCTTGGCAATAATATGGGGAAGAAATAATTGAGAGCATGATTACTGGAACATACAGACAAGCCAGTAATTATTTCTGCACATCACCATGAAATTTAAATGCAAAAGTTAAAGATATTAACTTTAATCTAATTGAAAACACCCCCTTTTAAATGACATATAAGTGAAGCTCAATATATTTTGATGTCTGTGTGGGCATAATATTAAAAAGATTGTCCAGATGTTTTAAAATGTGAGGGGAATATAAAACCAGTGCCTTCTTGCAAATTCATAAATCAAACATGCTGCTTTTCAACAGAGCCATCTTTGGTTTGGTTAATAGTTCCTACTCTTGTTTTTAATCACAGCAATTCCCATAGTCCTAAAAAAATCCTTAAATACTGCTTCATTTACAAAACACTTTGTGGGGTGAACCAAACAAACCAACATCCAATCTCTGACTTATTATTTACTAACGAGTTTTCCAGATATTCCCATGCTCAGTGTCAGGAATTCCCGTTTTAAAAATGCATCGCCATTTTCCAAAATGTCTCTTTTGACCAGGACAAATTCCTGCTGTCTCTCAGCATCCCTCACCAGACCTACACAGTAATATTATGGTATGGACAGGTTGAGGCCAGAAGAGCACTAGGGCAGCTCCTCCAGACTCTGCTGCAGCATCCAACAGGCAGAAATGTTATACAGATAGAAAATTAATTTTCATTGCTTTGCCTATGGAAAACATACTTAACTCAGGATGAAAACATACTTAACTCGGCCAAAAATATTCATAAAATGGTAACACTGTCTTTACTTAAGATCTAATTTTTTGGAACTGGATGAATGTGGGCATTGTTTCATTGAGTACAGCTTTAGGGGTAGTTGTCTCCTATAGCATTTGTATATGAACTCATTCCCCACTGCCAGCAGTGAAAGGGCTTTTGCTCAGATGTAGAAGCTCACAGTATTGAGACCTTTTGCCCAGTATATTCATATATACATTAATCATAATTACTCCACTGGTCAATTCAGTATAAGCTTTGAGAACTTGTAAATAGTTTCTTTAAGTGATTGAGAGTTTTCTGACTCACAAAACTGTTTAATCTTAATAGAAGTGATACAGAGAACCTAGATGGCAGAGTGAGCAAATCCCCAGCCCAGGGCACCAGCAGATGGGGATGATGGTTCATCTTCAGCAAGGGTTACAACCACAAAATCAGTGATTTGGGGCACAAACACAAAACCAGGCACCCACGACTGCCAAAACTCACATCTAATTCCTTTGGATGATGCCAATGAACAGATCTGGAGCCCACAGGCATTTTTCCTCACACACAGACAAAGACCTCACAAATTTTTGGTATCAAGGATGAAAAGTTACAAAATAGGGAGAGGAAGTTCTAAAGGCGGGTTGTTCTAAGTCAGCTTGGTTATTAAACTATTAAGACTTAATGAAATATTTGGCAGAGAATAATATTTGGTAAAAACTCAAGTTCCTGCCTATGACTTGCCATGGCCAAGATGTCCTTAGTAAAGGAAGAGTGGTTAAAGCCTAGGAGCTCCAGCATCTTTAAGCAAAAAACCAAATGCACAACACTATTAAATAACCCCTTTAAAATTTTGCATGCCTTGAAAACTAAGAAAAAGCAGATGGAGATATTAAATACTTCTGAAACTATTTGCAAATCTTCCTTGAACCAGAAGGAAGGAGCTAAGCTGCTGCTTGGAAGGAGGAGCCCTGGAAAGCCAGCCTTGGCTCCCAGGCCTCCAGTGCAGCTGGGACATTTCCACAAGAGAGAGAGTCCTCTCCACAAAAATACCCCACAACACAAAAAGAACTTGGCTTTAATAAGGAAACAGAGGATAAACCCATCAGCTGGGAGATACTGCAAATTGTCAGCTAGCTGAGCTCAAGCGAGGCCACACAGTTCAGGATCCCCACCTGAGCACACAAAAAGATTTGTTGGGATTTTGTCCCAACCCAGCTTTCTTGCTCTCAGGACACACTTAAATTTTTCCACACTTCCCAAAAGAAGGGCACTGTGAGGTAGAGCAGATTCAAGCAGAGCCTGCCAGGAGCAGGACCACCAGACCCCACAGACCCAACACCCTTTGGTCTCCCTTCACGAAACATTTTAACGGGCAGAGAAAAAATACAAAACACACACAGGTTTTGAGAAGAACCCCCCAGTTGAGACCTGCTTGGATTTCAAATGCAGGTTTTGCTTCCTGCTTATTTTGGGGAGTTCTGCCACAAAAACAATACCTGACCCCCCACAGCAGCCCTGCTCCACCTCCACCACCAGCACACTTCCACCATAAACAGAGCCCATGGAACCAAAAGGAAAAGATGGAAGGTCCATTTCAAGGGCAAAAGTCCCTAAAATATGAGTAAAGGAAAATCCCAGATAAAATCTGACCAAACCAAAACTCACTTTGAAGCACCATTTGCAAGTTCTTCCTCTTTTTTGCCCTCTCAGCCAATATAGTTTCTGGTTTCGTGACAGGGACACGGCCTGGGGATGTTTGTGATTGCTCAGGCTCAGACAGTAACAGACAAACTTTCCTTAGGCATGTACGGAATGTCATTTTTGTGCTATTCATACTTTATGTCAGCCCAAAAGCTCTCAATTCTTATTTTTTCAACACCCTGCTCAAGAAACTTGTCATAGCCTTTACAGCAGAGGACATGCATCTAATCCAGCATAACCTATTGGAGACTTATTGAAAATTTATATATATGATCACAAGCTATTTGTTTTCTACAGGACTATTACCAAATGTACAATTTATTTATTTTATTATTGTATTTACTTTATTCTTTTAGTCAGAGTGACCTCACCACATACTGTTCACCTCTGCCCCAAAACCAGAATTACTAATTCCTCTTGGGTTTTTCTATAGAATTCAGACTGTGATATGGCTGATCTATGTCATAAAATTTTACTTTAAAATGGGGCTGAGAGGGCATGGAATGGAAATTTTCATCAAAAATAGTTAATGTGCAGTAAAGTTCTTAAGAACTGAAAAACAGGGTGCACATGGTCGGGTGTTTCAGCCGCCTTCGTTGTATTAACAGATATTCTATATTTCCATTTTTAGCTCTGAAAAGCAGAGGAGGCAGAGTCCTGGTGTGTTCACTGACTTTGTACCAGCTTTACAAACCCACTCAGCTCACTGCTGCTCTATGAGAACTGACCCTGCTCGCTTCCTGTGCTTTTCCAACACAGTTTCAGCTCCTTCTCTGAATTTCGTGACGTGTCACCCGTGTGGGAAGAAGTTTTTCAGCCCTCTCAGAAAGCTGCATGTTAATGTGCCACCTTTAATGTCCTGGTGCAGAGGCAGCAACACGCACACAAACACAAAATCACATTTTCCTCTCTATTACCTGACCTTTCCAGACTGTTCTTCCTTTGGATATGGACTGGGCTTCTCTAGTGATCAACAATTTTTCATAGACTTGTAGAATGGGTTGGGTTGGAAGGGACCTTTAAAGGTCCAAACCCCTGCAATGAACACATCAACTAGATTTTTATAACTTGCTTCTAAGTTATAAATGTGTACTTAACTGTCTTTTATTCACAATTTCTGGTGCAATAGCAACTTCAAATGATACAATTCTTGAGCCACTTACAACCCTATCCAGGCAATAGTAACCAATCCTCAGCTAAAACAGTATTAATTTCCTTGAAGGCAAAGGTATCAAGCCTCAAGCCATCATGGAAACCTTCCAACAATGACATGATTTTTATGTAATTAGTTTTTCTTCACAAGCCAATTATCTAAAAAACAGAGCTTTATTACAAAGACCGAAGGGAGATTCCAGTTTTAAAGTCATTTACATGGACAATTTGTTTTTATTCCTGCCTGGACACTGCATTAATGATCCTTTTCCTTCCTTTATGTTCTCCTCATCTCCGTGTTGCACGCAAGGAGCAGTTTGCACCTCTCAGAAGGGATGGAAGTTCTCTGGCACAGAGCCATGTCATCTTCCCAGCAATGAAGCAGATCTTCAGGAAACGCGGCCTCTTCCCGGTGCCACCACACTGATTTAAGGGGTTTCCTGATGTTCAGCTCAGACGTGTGGAAAAACTTTCAGGAAAATCAGTCATTGTGGCAAAGACCTCCAAATCCATGTTTTCTTGCAAAAAAAGGGTTGGGGAAAGCTTGT